ATAAAAAAATTATTTTTTTAAAGTATAGTCATTCTTTTTTTTAAAAAAAATGCTCATATTAAATAAAACACTTTAAAAACATTCTATTGAATAAGGATAAATATAAAAAGACATAATTAATTTAAAAATAAATAATTATTTTATTAAAGGTAAAATTCAATTAAAGATATTTTATATTTTTGAATGGATGGACTATTAGTTTAATAATAATAATAATTAGATTTTAAACAAAATTTTCAGGAAAAAAAATGACTCGCAGATGCCAATTCCGACAATGAAAAATGAAGATCTGGGTTGCAAACTATATTTGAAATTTTTTTAATTTGCATCGTTTATTTTTTATGAAAAGTTTATTTGACACCAAAATATAATTAAATTTATATACTGGGACTCAATGTTCATTTGTCGTAAATAATTAACACACTTTATTGTGATAAATTCATAATCTAAATTATAAAGATTTACATTTAAATGGTTCCAAGATGAATATAATTGCAGTTTTAAATTTCCATAAATATTTAGAACGGATCGTTTCAATTCCTCTCCCTTAACCCCCAAAAAAGGAGAGGATATCAATAAAAACTTGCTAAAATAATTTAATATCAGAACAATAATTTGGACGGATCAGATACTTATCAAAGCTTAAACTTTTACTTGTCAGTTGTTAATTTTTATTTGTTATAAGTCATTGTCTGATAATCTCCACATACAAAAAAAAGTTATATCTGAGAAAGATATACAAAGAGTGATTTTTTTTTTTTTGTTTCTTAGAAACTCCTACAGCTGACAATGATGAGATTAATTTTTCAAGAAATTTAAACACTATTTAAAAGGTTATCTTCTTTCAAACTATGCCTTCTACTCACGTCTCTAAAAATGATTGCTATGATCTTACTCAAAAAAAAAAAAATTTAGGGGGGTAATAAGAAGAAGAAGATTATCTCATGGCTTCTACCGAAATAACATTATATTGTGACTTGTGGCCCAATTAATCACATGGTTCCTACTATCATAAAGTATAATCTGGCCCATACCAATAGCCCAAAAAAAAAAAACACATTCAAAAGACTAAATTACTAACAGGAGTAAAGTCTAACAGAAAATGTTAGTCTTTTATAATATGAGGACTTAGGATTTAAATTCTCACTGAAAGAGGTACCAATATTTAATATTCAATTATATCTCAAATGCAATTATCTTTAATAAGAATACGTATGAGCAACAAAAATATAATGAACAACTTGTTAAACTGCTTACATGTGATCATCATATAACATAAATATGCTCGGTTGATATATAGGAGTCGATGACGGAAATAATGAGGAGAATCTGCGCCTGAAAGTTGTGAGGCCGTCGCCTGAAAAAGAAAGAAAGAATGAAAATAATCATATTTAAATCATATGATTATTAAAACACCCCAGACACAATAGAATTAATGGCACCTTAAACATGCATATTATATATTTCCTATAATCATATCCGAAGATGGCGTGTGTGAAACTGAGTTAATCCCTTTACGCAGTGGGCTATTGGGCTTCTTATAGGTTTGGGCTCAATATATTTCATAGTTTTGGGCTAGTTACATACTAATATTGGATTAGGATCATCTATTAAAGAATATGAAATTTTAATCAGTTCTGGTTCACATTCAGTATGCCTTTCATGCTTAAAACTGAAGCAATAAGGATCCTCTTGATTCATCGAGCTTGAAAGCTGAAGTAACTGGATTTTTTTTTTAATAAAAAATCAGGCCCTTTATTAATGTTATCCAAAAACACACACACACACTCACACACTAATCCCCGGTAAAAGAAAAAGAAAAGGCAGAAAAATCTATGAAATACAACCATTGAAAGTAAATCAAAGCAAGTAAACATAAACATACAGCCCACGGAAAAACCAGAAAAGCAACAGAACATGACAGCAACAGGGAACCAGAAGCCTAAACCAATACCTTTCTTTAGCTTTGCCTCAGTGCTTCTGCCATGAAGGTCTCCCAACATCACACTGACTGGAGAAGACATGGTTGTTCAAAGAGTTTGTCTTGCAATATGGCAAATCAGTATTCGAATCTCCGTTGAGAGAAATATTCATATTTAGTATTCACAATGCCTTGAAAAGGACTAATCCAACATGAGGATAGCCGTGGGCTCCAATAGGAGGATATACTTGTGGGGGGGGAAAAAAACAAAGAGCTAGCCTTGTGGTTGCTAACCTATTTGCAACACCACTGCCTCCGTGAGCCACAAGAACTATGGAATAGTTCACACCAACATTATGTAATTCAAAGCACTTCAAAAGTTAAAGTACTCTTACTGAATCACAATATAAGACATATTTTAAAATCATACTTTGATTAAAATATAAGATATTGAATAATTTTGATATTTATTTTTTCAATTATAACTTTACATCATTTACTATTCTTTTTGAAAAAAATCATGCATTAAAACTTTAATTATTATTGTCAATATTTTATATAAGATATTTAATGAAGGTATAAATAAAAAATGTGTGGACATTTTTAATAATTTAATATTTAACTAACATTATTCGTAAATTATGAATTAATTAACTATGACTTATATCATGATTCGAAGGGAGTAAGTGGCTTGGAAATTTTGAACACCTTTAAACAAAAAGCAGATTAGAATGTGAAGTCCATGTTGGATTTTGTTGTATTATATCATCTTCCGTGAATGGAAGTGGCTGCCGCTTCTTCCAATTTTGTCAAGGTCACATGTCAACTGAGTTGGAAAATAAGTTGCTTCACAAAAATTGTAAGGATTAAATTTAAATTTAAAATGAGTCTAAAATAAAAGGGATAATTGTAATCAATTAAAATTACTTGGATCACCTAAAATCTTACTCGAGTTTTAAAAATGTAACTTAGTTATTTAATTTAATATATAAACCTGTCGCCTTCCATACAGTACCGCTCTCAGTCGCCCGCAAGCCCATAAAATATTTTGCATGACCACAGATGTTCTGTCTACATTGTCTTGCCACAAAAACTTCACTAGAAAATGACATATTCTTACATTTATTCTAGTCCATAATAATATTTTTAATAGGTTGAGTAACGTGTATTTTAATTTATCAAAGATCAGGCTTTTATTTAATTTCGATATAAATTTTTGGTATAATTACTGTCAAGTACCTCACAATAATTACAGTCATCCTAAAGTGCTATAAAATGTACAAATTATACAAAATCCCAAGTAAATAAGTTTTTTCACTGCAATTGCATTAATACCCTCAGCTTTCCACAATGACAAGAATGTTCTTCTCTGTTTGTTTTCTCTCATGGACCAAGGATGGGTCTCATTCTTGATTATGTTCATGTTGTCACCACTTTCTCCCCCATGCCATACTTCCCTCCTTTGGCTCCTTGTCAATCTCCCACACAACTACCCTTCTGCTGTCGACTATGATCACCCTAACTGCCTCCCTTTTGATGAGCTTGGCTACTTCTCCAATCACAACAACCTTGCTCCTCCCAATCACCCCTCCCCCCTTGTAAACTCATCAAAAAAGATAATTCTCCCTCCGGATCCCCCTGTTTGGATGTTAATGTAGCCACTCTTTCCCCAGTCTATGAGTCTTATATTTAAATGATTTTATTACAATGTCATGATGAACTGCCTCTACTTTAACTGGTGATGTCGGACCTTAAGAAGTGCATCAACAAAGAGAGGAACTTGTTGGTATGAGTGAAAGTGGAAATAGGAAACGAAAGAAGGCTTCATATTCATGGTAAATTTGGTGGAGTTGAGGAGAAGATATAGGAAGAAAGGCAAAGATGTGAGGGAGTGAAGGATGAGTGAGAAGCATACGAAAAGTAATGGCAAAAATGGAGGTGGCAAGACATGAGGGAAGGGAAGTTGAGTTGTGACAAATTTCATTAGGAAGAAAGTTTCAACAAGTGGCCCATATAAGAGAAGAATGATAACCATAGGATTTGATCGGATTTTGTTTAACTTTTTCTTATCACTTGGAGGGCAAATTTGTCTTTTTATGTGCATTAACAGAACATCCAAATCTTTTAGGACCTCTTAGTAATTAAATAAATTTAAGAGATTTACTTGAGGTTAACTTAACTAGGTTTTTCCCAAATTGTTATCATCCCTTTGCAAATAACACTACTATCACGCTTTTCTTACATTTTGAATGACAAATGTGTTGTGTACTAGATATGATTTATTATAAAATCTTAACTAAGAAATAATATTCTCAAATATCAATTTATTTATTGATTAATAATTATTATATAAAATTTTTGTTGATACTTTTATTACTTCAAAAATAGTATTCACAATTATTTATTTCAATGATTTATTAAAAAAAACATCAACAAGTTTAAATTAAGACATATCAAAATTATATTTTAATAGTCCTTTAATTTCATTTATAGAATCGAGAAAGAAAAAAATTTAATCTCACTCATAACTCACATTGTTAAATTTTTATCACAAACTTTTTCCTTTATACTCATTAAATGTTAAAGAAAAAAATACATTATTAAATAATGTATATTTAATAGGAATAAATTAATAATTTTTTATTTTTTTAAACATAATTAATAAAATTTATTTTTTTAATATTAATAAATATGTTAAGAGTGATTTATAAATAAAAAATAACATATAAAAATAATTAAATTAAAAATATTTTTTATCAAAAATAAAAATATTATTATATAAGAAAATGAGATGCTTCGCTTGCTTAAAAATATATAATTTTTTTTTTGAGAGGTTAAATATTTAAAAAAATAAATATTTTTAAATTTTCTGAGTAAAATTTTTTTTAAAATATTTTTATTAAAAAATAAAATATTTTATTAAATAAAAGTAAATATAAAAAAATAAAATTAATTTAAATAAATAATTATTTTATTGATGGATAAAGTTTAATAAAAATAATTTATATTTTTTAAAATGGGGAGAGTAGTCGAGAAGCGAGGTAGCATTTTATTTCCTTCGGGTTCTGTACTGGCAATAACACGTCCTTGGCAAATGACGCGTGTATGCGATTCTGACTCCTAATAATGCTGCAATTTTGTAGTTCTCTTACAGTACGGAGACCGAGAACCCAACCCGATTCAGAAAACCTCAATAAAATTTCATCTTCAAGACGCCAAGCAAAAACCCAGAATTCCCATTTCAGAATTCGGACAATCTTCCATTTAGCCCCCTTTTTTCCGTAGCATATTCTTTCCCGGGAATTCAAAATAGAAATTCCCAGGAACATAGCATCAATTTTTGGGATCCCGAATCCGGTTCCATTTCTTTTTTCCCCCGTTCGATTAAGTTTTTTGTTCCTCCAATTGCTTTCCGGAACCTAGTTTCCCATTACCACACTCAAATATTCATAGGGATTTTGTATCTCCTATGGACCAACAGGACGAAGCAATTTGCAAATCCTCGAATTCGTTTAATTTTCTCAATGGGTTATCTCTGAAACATTCCGCGTGGTTCGAAATTAGGCTATTCTATGTCAGGATTTCTCCTTGTGTCATCGATAACGTGCCCGACCACCTTAAGCTCTGCCATCCTCGGCGTGAAATGGGGTTTCCCTGGAAATGAACGGGTCCCGCATGCCCCCATCGGACGGAGACGGCGTCATTGACTCTCCGTCGGGATCGGGTCGACAAGGAATCGTCGGAGGTCACCTATGTGAGCACCGATAACATCCGGGTCACGGGCAGCGTCGAATTTGAGGTGTACGAGAACGATGGGTTGATTCTTTGTGGTTCTTTGGAGCGAATGGATGCTGATTGGACGAGCGGGAATGCGGGGTCAGGGAATGATTCAAATACAGGTTGGAGCATGGATTGTCATGTGGCGATGTCCATCGGGTCAGGCTCGTCGGCGTTTTTCCAGCCAAAACTTGGAGTTTCGGCACCTGCCATTGAGGTATATATTGCTGGGTGTTGCTCTGGTATGCCAGTGATTCTGACCAAGACGATACAAATGAGTCCAAGGAGGAGAGGTGGCGAGACATGCGACTCTGGATGTCATTCCTGAAGATGAGGAAGTGGGGAAGGAACAGAAGAGTATGAACGGGTTGATTCGCCAGCGTAAATTGCAGGTATTGCCTTTTGCTTTAATTGCTATAGTATCTTCTGATTAGTGCATAAGCTATGTATTAGATCTGTGCATATTTTTAATGCAGTTTATTTCTTTGTTTGTATCCTATCCTAAAAGCATTTTCCCCTTGACTGTGGAAACTAAACTTCATCCTTCTATTCACAAACTTCAGAACATACAAAAAAATTCCATGCTTTTTTGAACCAAACTGAAGTTGTTTCTATCAGGTAAAGTTAAATGCAGGAAGCTGGTTCGTCACTTGAATAATCTTCGTCGACAGGCATTGGGACAGGGAATTATTATGTTCGTTTCAACATTTATGTTAATAATTCAGTGATTATGCTTTAGTTGGGTAAAACGTAGTTTTATCTACTTAATATGTGCTTGCATGCTTTGTACCAAGCCAATTGCTGCGATTTAGTGGGCAGTGGTAAGTGTACCAGAAAACATCTTTAAGCTGACTACCTGAAAGGATTTAAGAAGAAACCACGGATGCAAATCAGACTTGGGATAACGCATATTTGAAGCTGAGTTGATTTTGTACGTCTTACTAGATTGAGCCGTGGTTTTCTAATGCCATGCGGTCTGTTGACTGTTACATTAATCTTTAACATTGTTTTCCTGAGAATTTCAATGTTGCTTTGTTTGTGTATCCTTTGTCAGCAACAACTATGCATGATTCCTTGATTATGCCTAACGGGGGGTGAGGGACCTATAATTTTGGTGGTTTGGCTGCATCTTAATCTGCTAAAGGAAGAAAGAAAAAAGATTTCATTTTCAATAAGCTGTTTAGTAGAAGATAACATACCAAGGTTTATGAGCATGATGATACCACCTGGGTTTTAAATCCAGAGGCATTGGTTGAGGATTATAAACGATGTGGACTTTAGTTGTATTTAGAATATACAAACATTTTAATTTCCCATTTCTACAAAACCTATTAAAGTATTTTTAAGTTGTTTGAGGGTGAGATTTGTGGAAAGTTTTGATGATCGTTTTCTTTTCTTAATATTCATAATTAACCTGGGGATTTGATTTTTAATATATCTCATGTTCAATATCTTATAAATAGTGTTCTAAGCACTTAAATTATAATGCCATTAACCACCTGAGGCTCACCATTATTGTTTGGTTGTTTAAATTGTCTCATAGTCTCTTTATTTGTTCAGAATGGTGGCTTACAATGGAGTATGTTTAAAATTTTCCTTTGGATTCTTTGGGGGTGGGTGGGTGGATTTATTGATTGTGCATATGGGGAGATATGGGTAGGAGAGTATGTGCTAGGCTTATTGTGATGTTTAATGTCATAGAATTGATGGAAACAAAGATTGGGATGAGATCTGGCTTCAATATCTTATCTTATCCTTAAAATGTCTGGTTTTGCATTTTTCATTCAATTTGATGTTGCTTTGTTGGTGCAGATCACAGGGTCAGAAGTTGATGATTATGAGGATATGGAAACATGGAGCATGATTTCTATGCTCAAGACATGTATCCGGGTGAGGATGGACAGCTTTCATTTTAATGCTGGTGTTAGAGTTGGTGTTGGTATGGTCTTGGGAGTTGCCTAGGCATTGGATTGGTGTTGGGACTACTCATGCGTTCATATCAGGCAACAACCAGGAACTTTAGGAGGAGATTTTT